TCTTCAATTTCCGACCGTCCAAGTGGTAGGGCACCATTCCTTTCACCCTGTCCCATCCCAAATCCTTGTCCTGATCCCTTCAAAGTGCTATATAGTCGTAATGGATTGGCTCTTTTCTGATAATTCTCTTCCCTTTACCCCTTTACTATTTGTCAATTGTTATAGGTACTTTTGCAATGTTTTGAAATATGTTTATTAATTATTTTCCTTCGTGTCATTTGAAGTCATCGACGTGGTGGATTGTAGGGAGGTTAGTTTGTCCTCCGCACATTGATATCTTGTCTCCATCTTGACGTGTTCCCATTTTATCATCTCCCCACCTTGATATTTATCGATCTTGACGTCTCTATCTTGTAATCTTTTCTCCAGCTTGACGTCTTCTTGACAGCTTTCCATCCTTACTTGTCCTCTCGATCACTCAATGTCTCCGTGTGTCCATCTCGACAGATTGAGAGACGCGATCAGTCGCCATCATGGGTGGAGACTATCTCCATCTTCTCATTTTCTCACTGACGTTTGCTTTTGTTAGAATGTGGCTTCTGTTATTTATTGTAAATTTGAACTACACTTCTTTAATTGGAAACTTATTTACCATAAGTCTTCCAGTTAAACTCGTTAGAATGCAATTAATGTGGCGTTTTGTATTACATAGTATACACACACAGTATTACACACACACACACACACACACACACACACACACACACACACACACACACACACACACACAGCAAAACAAAGCAAAGCAACAAGGGCATGGAGCAAGGTACAAGGGCATGGAGAAACTACAGAAATAACAGGACACTAGAGAGCAGAAAAAGATACCAGAGTGCCAGGAATGAACACGTCAGGGTGAGAAGAGAGGCAGAAAGACAATATGAAAATGACATAGCGAGCAAGACAATGACTCACCCTAAATTGCTGCACAGCCATATCAGGAGAAAAACAACAGTGAAGGAACAGTAATGAAACTGAAGATACGGGTAGACAGATTCACTACAAACAATTCAATTTCTATCTTTATTATGCACCCCATACCCATCCCGTGAGCGATGGGGTAAAGGGTTACAGAAGCACATAATCGGTTCAGGAACTGAACCCTCTAGTTCGTTTAGCTAAGCAAATAACAATTTTTTGACGCTAGTTACGCAATTATTAATGTTATATTTACATGTACACACATACATACGTGTACATATATATACATGTACATTTATACATACATAGATACACATATATACATACATATACATATTCAATCACCTACACAAATACTCATCAATAATATTTTGTATCACAAGTAATTCAACAAGAGGCTCACAACAGTCACTATACAAGGCACTTTACATCTATGGTGAGTCACACAGTTTCTAGTCCTGCTCCCACCCACCCAACTGGGCGGCAGCTTTACAGCCATGTGCAGGCAGCACCTACAGTATGCAAATTTTGGATACTTCGTTGATGTTCCCGGAATATTACTGCCCTCAGGCTGCTCAAAGGCAATCCAAGTTGGTAATCAGTTCCCTTTTTACGAGCAAAAGTCTTGTCCAACTCATCAGTTCTATCGTGCATTACAAACGACAAGGAAATGTGCGAGGAACTCAATAAGAAATTCCAGGAGGTCTTCACAGTAGAGCAAGGAGAAGTCCTAGAGATAAGAGAGGGAATATCTAACCAGACACCACTAGATGAGTTTGATTACCAGTGGGGAGGTGAGGAAGCATCTGCTAGAGATGGATGTGACAAAGGCTATAGGCCCAGATGGAATCTCGCCTTGGATACTGAAGGAAGGAGCAGATGCTCTGCACCTGCCACTCTCCATCGTGTATAACAAATCACTACAGGTTACAGGTAACAGGTTATCTGTTACAGGTAACAGGTTAACTGCCAAAAATTTGGACGACGGCTAAAGTAGTCCCCAATATTCAAGACGGGTGATAGGGCCTGTAATTCAGTGCCTCCTATCTAACTTGCTTACCATGCAAGATGGAGAAGATTGTGAAAAAAGCTAGTTGAACATCTGGAGCGAAAGAGCTTTGTAGCACAACATCAACATGGGTTCAGGGATGGTAATTAATGCCTCGCAGGATTAATTGAATTCTCTGATCTGGCAGTAAAAATTAGGCAAGAAAGAGAGGGCTGGGTAGACTGCATATTTTTGGATTGGCCGAAAGCCTTTGACACAGTACCACATACGAGACTAATGCACAAGCTGGAGATGTAGGCAGGAGTGACAGGGAAGGTACTTCACCGGATAAGGGAGTACCTAAGCAACAGAAGACAACGAGTATGGGATGAGGTCTCAAAGTGGCGAGGCGTCACCAGTGGAGTCCCGCAGGGATCAGCCTTTGGAACTATACTGTTTCTGAAATATGTAAATGATCTCCCAGAGGATATAGACTCGTTCCTCTCATTGTTTGCTGATAATTCAAAAATTATGAGGAGGATTAAGACAGAGGAAGGTAGTATGAGGCTACAAAATTACTTAGACAAACTGAAGGAATAATCCAACAAATGACTAGTAAAGTTCAACCTAAGTAAATGTAAGGTAATGAAACTTGGCGGAGAATTTTCTCCACCAGGAGGCCAGACACTGGATGACGAATGGCAGAGGAAGTCCTTCACGAAACGGACAGAGAGAAAGATCTTGGAATTGATATCACGCCAAACCTGTCTCCTGAAGCCTGCATCAAAAGAATAATATCGGCGGCGTATGCAAGGCTGGCTAACATCAGAACTGCCTTCAAGAACCTGTGTAAGGAAGCCTTCAGAACCTTGAATACCACATATGTAAGACCAATCCTGGAGTATGCGACCCCAGCATGGAGCCCGTACCTTGTCAAGCACAAGACAAAGCTGGAGAAAATCCAAAGGTATGCCACTAGGCTAGTCCCTGAACTAAGAGGCATGAGTTACGAGGAAAGTCTGCGTGAACTGCACCTTACGACACTGGAAGACAGAAGAGTAATGGGAGACATGATCACAACCTACAAAATCCTCAGAGGAATCGATCGGGTAAACAAGGATAAACTATTCAACACTGGTGGGACGCGAACAAGGGGACACAGGTGGAAACTGAGTACCCACATGAGCCACAGAGACGTTAGAAGGAACTTTTTCAGTGTCAGAGTAGTTAACGGATGGAATGCATTAGGAAGTGATGTGGTGGAGGCTGACTCCATACACAGTTTCAAGTGTAGATATGATAGAGCCCAGTAGGCTCAGGAACCTGTACATCAGTTGATTGATAGTTGAGAGGCGGGACCAGAGAGCCACAGCTCAACCCCCGCAAGCGCAACTAGGTGAGTGCACGCACGCAAGCGCGCGCACACACTCACTCACTCACACACACACACACACACACACACACACACACACACACACACACACACACACACACACACACACACACACTCTCTCTCTCTCTCTCTCTCTCTCTCTGTCTCTCACACTCTCTCTCACACACACACACACACACACACACACACACACACACACACACACACACACACACACACACACACACACACACACACACACACGAAATAACTTTTTCAGTGCCAGAGTAGTTAGTAAATGGAATGCACTAGGAAGTTTTTTTTATTATTATTATTTTCTACCACAGACGTGGCCAGACATTTACAATGCTAACCAGCATATATACATTTTCTTCTGTCCTCCATGGACAGGGTTAGAGAAGTGTTAAACATACAGTTCAAGGGTTTATTGAACACTCAACTACAGAAGGTGATTCGGTGCTTTAAAATGCTAAGCTAACCTACGTACGTAAATACAAAGATACACAGATTTACGTATGCCCTACATAAAGTGTTTGATGTGTCTTTTACATAGTGTCATTAATGTACATTCACAAAGGTGAAATGTAATTCTGATCAGCTTCCATATATACTTTATACCCATACATATACATACACACACACATATACATACATATATACACACACATGCATTCACATACATTTGTCTCATTTACTCTGACAGGGTGAGATAGATGATAAAGAAACTAGTGTGCAATTAAGCACTTAATCACTGAAGGTGATGAAGGTGCTTTTACAAGCTCAGGTTATATAGTTACATCATATATATACATTGTATAATTAATATATTACATGGTCAATCTTGGATACAAGTCCAATATATCATCAAGTGTTCCAGTACTCATATAGTAATTACAGAGTTCAGCATACCTTAGCCCAGGAGGGCGAAAGTCAGTCAGTATTACACTAGGAAGTGATGTGGTGGAGGCTGACTCCATACACAGTTTCAAATGTAGATAAGATAGAGCCCAGTAGGCTCAGGAATCTGTACACCTGTTGATTGACAGTTTAGAGGCGGGACCAAAGGGCCAAAGCTCAACCCCCGCAAGCACAATTAGGTGAGTACAATTAGGTGAGTACACACACACACACACACACGCACACACACACACACACACACACACACACACACACACACACACACACACACACACACACACACACACACACGAAACTGGTTTAATTAACATTTGCATACACCTACTAAACTTTCAATTAAGAACCCGCAAATTAAAATTCAAACAGGTTTAAGCAAGTTTGTGGCATCATTTAGTTGTCATTAAAGAGTGTCGCATACTGAGTGCTGGTCTCATACTGTATAATGTGTATCTTGTGGACACCTGCTGCTACTGCTGGCTACGACCCAGGGAAATATAATAGTGAATCTTGCACACTAAACACCACACATTCTTCTTTCTTGTTAAGAAACATAATTCCCTTTGTCGGAGCCTGGAAGCTGCTCCATTTTAGGATTATCCAAGGCTCTGTAAATAGTCTTTACTGCTTGTTCTTACCAGGGATGCGCCCCACAACTGTTAGCTGACTCCTGCGTAGTCAGGTGAGTGTTAGGTAAACAGAGGCATCATGGCAAAGTAACTGCACCCAACCGCTTCCGTCCAGCTTGGGGGGATTGAACCCGGGTACCACAGTTGGGAGTCGAGGATGTGGATTACTGTGTCATTGGTCGTGAGTCGTGTGTGTATGTGTGTACTCACCTATTTGTGCTTGCAGGATCGAGCATTGACTCTTGGATCCCGCCTTTCTAGCCATCGGTTGTTTACAGCAATGACTCCGGTCCCATTTCCCTATCATACCTAATTTTAAAAGTATGAATAGAGTTTTTTCCCACAACCTGTTCCTTAAGTGCATTCCATTTTTCCACTACTCTCACGCTAAAAGAAAACTTCCTAACATCTCTAATGACTCATCTGAGTTTCCAGTTTCTACCCATGTCCCCTCGTTCTGTTATTATTACGTGTGAACATTTCATCTATTTCCACTTTGTCAATTCCCCTGAGTATTTTATATATCCCTATCATATCTCCACTCTCCCTTCTTTTCTCTAGTGTCGTAAGGTTCAGTTCCTTCAGACGCTCTTTATATCCCATCCCTCGTAACTCTGGGACAAGCCTCGTCGCAAACCTCAGAACCTTTTCCAGTTTCCATATGTGTTTCTTCAGGTGGGGACTCCATGATGGCGCGGCATACTCTAAGACTGGTCTCACGTAGGCAGTATAAGTGTGTGTGTGTGTGTGTCATTGGTCGCGAGTGAAGCGTGTGTGTGTGTACTCACCTAATTGTGCTTGCGAGGGTTGAGCTCTGGCTCTTTGGTCCCGCCTCTCAACCGTCAATCAACAGGTGTACAGGTTCCTGAGCCTATTGGGCTCTATCATATCTATACTTGAAACTGTGTATGGAGTCAGCCTCCACCACATCACTGCCTACTGCATTCCATTTGTCAACCACTCTGACACTAAAAAAGTTCTTTCTAATATCTCTGTGGCTCATATGGGCACTCAGTTTCCACCTGTGTGTTCTAGTGCGTGTGTCCCTTGTGTTAAATAGCCTGTCTTTGTCTACCCTATGAATTCCCTTGAGAATTTTGAATGTGGTGATCATGTCCCTCCTAACTCTTCTGTCTTCCAGCGAAGTGAGGTTTAATTCCCGTAGTCTCTCCTCGTAGCTCATACCTCTCTGCTCGGGTACTAGCCTGGTGGCAATCCTTTGAACCTTTTCCAGTTTAGTCTTATCCTTGACTAGAAATGGACTCCATGCTGGGGCTGCATACTCCAGGATTGGCCTGACATATGTGGTATACAAAGTTCTGAATAATTCCTTACACAAGTTTCTAAATGCCGTTCTTATGTTGGCCAGCCTGCCATATGCCGCTGATGTTATCCTCTTGATATGGGCTGCAGGTGACAGGTTTGGCGTGATATCAACCCCAAGTCTTTTTCTCTCTCTGACTCTTGAAGAATTTCATCTCCCAGATGATACCATTTATCTGGCCTCCTGCTCCCTACACCTATCTTCACATCACATTTGCTTGAGTTAAACTCTAACAACTATTTGTTCGACCATTCCTTCAGCTTGTCTAGGTCTTCTTGAAGCCTCAAGCAGTCTTCCTGTCTTAATCCTTCTTATAATTTTGGCATCGTCAGCAAACATTGAGAGAAATGAGTCTAAATCCTCCGGGAGATCATTTACATATATCAGAAACAGGATAGGACCGAGTACAGAGCCCTGTGGGACTCCACTGGTGACTTCACGCCAATCTGAGGTCTCACCCCTCACCGTAACTCTCTGTATTCTATCGCTAAGGTATTCCCTTATCCACTGGAGCACCTTACCAGCTACTCCTGCCTGTCTCTCCAGCTTATGTACCAGCCTCTTATGAGGGACTGTGTCAAAAGCTTTCCGACAGTCCAAGAAAATGCAGTCCACCCAGCCTTCTCTTTCTTGCTTAATCTTTGTCACCTGGTCGTAGAATTCTATTAAGCGAGTCAGGCAAGATTTATTCTCCCTGAACCCACGTTGGCGGTTTGTCACGAAGTCCCTTCTCTCCAGATGTGTTACTAGGTTTTTTCTCACGATCTTCTCCATCACCTTGCATGGTATACAAGTCAAGGACACTGGCCTGTAGTTCAGTGCCTCTTGCCTGTCGCCTTTTTTGTATAATGGGACCACATTCGCCGTCTTCCATTTTTCTGGTAGGTCTCCCATCTCCAGTGACCTACTATACACTATAGAGAGTGGCAAGCAAAGTGCCTCTGCACACTCTTTCAGTACCCATGGCGAGATCCCGTCTGGACCAACAGCCATTCTATCATCCAGATCCAGCAGGTGTCTCTTGACCTCATCTCTCGTAATTTCGAACCCTTCCAAGGCCGCCTGGTTTACTTCCCCTTCTCCTAGGACAGTGACCTCACCTTGTTCTGTTGTGAAGACCTCCTTTAACCTCTTGTTGAGTTCTTCACACACTTCTTTGTCATTCCTGTGTTCGCCTGTTCTAAGTTTCATTACCTGTTCTTTCACTGTTGTGACTGTGGAGTAACTTTGGTTCGGTCTTGGCTTTGTTGCTGTATCATTTTCATAATTTTTCTCTGCTTCTCTTCTCACCCTGACGTACTCATTCCTGGTTCTCTGGTATCTCTCAATGCTTTCTGGTGTTCTGTTATTACGGAAATTCCTCCATGCCCTTTTGTTCAACTTCTTTGCTTTCATACATTCCCTATTAAACCATGGATTCTTCTTTTGCTTCTCGGATTTTTCCTTTTGGGCCGGGATGAACCTGTTTACTGCCTTCTGACACTTTTGGGTGACATAGTCCATCATATCTTGTACAGACTTAGCTCTGAGGTCTGTGTCCCAAGGTATTTCCCTTAGGAAACTTCTCATCTCCTCATAATTTCCCTTTCGGTATGCCAGCCTTTTGTTTCCTAGTTCTTTTTTTTTGGGGAGATAATTCCTAGTTCTACCAGGTACTCAAAGTTCAATACACTGTGATCACTCATTCCCAAGGGCGCTTCCATCATAACTTCCCTTATATCCCACTCATTTAGCGTAAATATCAGATCGAGCATGGCTGGTTCATCTTCTCCTCTCATTCTTGTTGGTTCCTTGATATGCTGGCTTAGAAAGTTTCTTGTTGCCACGTCCAGCAGCTTAGCTCTCCATGTTTCTGGTCCTCCATGTGGGTCCTCTGGTCCTCCTCCTCTGTTCTCCCAATCTACCTTCCCATGGTTGAAGTCTCCCATAATTAGTAGTCCAGATCCATTCCTGCTAGCAACAGAAGCTGCTCTCTCTTTTATGTTAATTGGTCGCCATGTTGTTTATCATGTTCCTGTCTGGGTCTTCTGTCATTTGGTGGTGGATTATATATAACTACGACTATAATTTTTTGTCCTCCAGTTGTTATGGTACCTGTTATGTAGTCACTGAAACCTTCACACCCCTGAATGATCATCTTCTCAAAATACCAGCCTTTTCCCAGTCTTTGTGTGTGTGTCATTGGTCTTGAGGTCAATAATACCCCCTATTCAATGACATGACCATCCACTGAGACTTGTCGATATAACAGCGGCCCTACTTCTTGCTGGGTCGTCGTTCGCTCCCGGCTAATGTAAGACTCTTAAGTGATTGTAGAGGGTTCCTTCACCCCGTCCTCCCATCCCAGCTCCTCGTAACCCATCCAAGTGCTGTGTAATCACACTGGCCTTAACCTTCCATAACTCCGGTAACTGTTGCTACCTCACTCACAATGATAACATTGACCGTACAAGCTATGCCTTACCACTAATCAGCCGTAACAACCTCGTTACATCTACAGCCACATAAACAACTGTTAGAGCCACAACAACCATACCATCAACCGCAGTGTCCAGAGACAAAGCAAATTGAAGACAGACGGCAACTTTCCCTCAGTGGTACAGAATTCACCTAGTTGTGCTTGCAGGGGTTGAGCTCTGGCTCTTTCGGCCCGCCTCTCAACTGTCAATCAACTGTTTATTTTTTCTTTCACACACACACACACACACACACACACACACACACACACACACACACACACACACACACACACACACACACACACACACAGGGTCTGGTAGCTTAGCAGGACAGTGCGCAGGACTTGTAATTCTGTGGCCCGGGTTCGATTTCCGGACCAGGCAGAAACAATTGAGCAACGTTTCTTTCACCCTGATGTCCATATTACCTAGCAGTAAATAGGTACCTGGGATTTAGACAGCTGTTACGGAGCTGCTTCCTATATGTGTGTGTGTGAGTGTGTGTGTGTGTGTGTGTGTGTGTGTGTGTGTGTGTAGAAAAATAAAGTATAAGCCTCACAGAAGCTTCTGGAACATTGTTTGGCCTAATGCCACTGACCCCATCAGGGATGGGCGATAGCACTTGTAGGGCAGAGGAGGTCAACCAGGTGGTTAGAGGTCACCCCTCTCCCTCTACCCCTTCCCCTCTGTTGACTATGACCTGGAGGACCTGCAGGTCGAGGGCCTGGAAGACCTGGAGGTTGAGGGCCTGGAGGACCTGGAGGTCAAGGGCCTGGAGGTCGAGGACTTGGAAGACCTGGAGGTCAAGGGCCTAGAGGACCTGGAGGTCGAGGGCCTAGAAGACCTGGAGGTCGAGGGCCTGGAGGACCTGGAGGTCAAGGGCCTGGAGGACCTGGAGGTCAAGGGCCTGGAGGACCTGGAGGTCAAGGGCCTGGAGGTTGAGGGCCTGGAGGACCTGGAGGTTGAGGGCCTGGAGGACCTGGAGGTTGAGGGCCTGGAGGACCTGGAGGTTGAGGGCCTGGAAGACCTGGAGGTCAAGGGCCTGGAGGACCTGGAGGTCAAGGGCCTGGAGGTCGAGGGCCTGGAGGACCTGGAGGTCGAGGGCCTAGAAGACCTGGAGGTCGAGGGCCTGGAGGACCTGGAGGTCAAGGGCCTGGAGGACCTGGAGGTCAAGGGCCTGGAGGTTGAGGGCCTGGAGGACCTGGAGGTTGAGGGCCTGGAGGTCAAGGGCCTGGAGGTCGAGGACCTGGAGGTCAAGGCGTGGAGGTTGAGGGCCTGGAGGACCTGAAGGTCAAGGGCCTGGAGGTCGAGAACCTGGAGGTCGAGGACCTGGAAGTCAAGGGCCTGGAGGTCAAAGACCTGGAGGTCGAGGGCCTGGAGGACCTGGAAGTTGAGGGCCTGTAGGACTTGGAGGTCAAGGGCCTGGAGGTCGAGGACCTGGAGGTCAAGGGCCTGGAGGTTGAGGGCCTGGAGGACCTGGAAGTTAAGGGCCTGGAGGACCTGGAGGTCAAGGGCCTGGAGGTCGAAGACCTGGAGGTCGAAGACCTGGAGGTCAAGGGCCTGGAGGTCGAGGACCTGGAGGTCAAGGGCCTGGAGGTCGAGGATCTGGAGGTCAAGGGCCTGGAGGTCGAGGACTTGGAGGTCAAGGGCCTGGAGGTCGAGGACCTGGAGGTCAAGGGCCTGGAGGTCGAGGACCTGGAGGTCAAGGGCCTGGAGGTCGAGGACCTGGAGGTCAAGGGCCTGGAGGTCGAGGATCTGGAGGTCAAGGGCCTGGAGGTCGAGGACTTGGAGGTCAAGGGCCTGGAGGTCGAGGACCTGGAGGTCAAGGGCCTGGAGGTCGAGGATCTGGAGGTCAAGGGCCTGGAGGTCGAGGACTTGGAGGTCAAGGGCCTGGAGGTCGAGGACCTGGAGGTCAAGGGCCTGGAGGTCGAGGATCTGGAGGTCGAGGGCCTGGAGGACCTGGAGGTCGAGGGCCTGGAGGACCTGGAGGTCAAGGGCCTGGAGGTCGAGGACCTGGAGGTCAAGGGCCTGGAGGTCGAGGACCTAGAGGTCGAGGGCCTGGAGGACCTGGAGGTCGAGGGCCTGGAGGACCTGGAGGTCGAGGGCCTGGAGGACCTGGAGGTCGAGGGCAGTCAATGTGTGGAGATTACACTGAACCCGAGACTGTTCGAGTGACTTTCAGGTCTGGAACCTTAAACGTCTCCAGATAAATTGTTTGGTTAATTTTCGTGAAGTAAATCCTAATAAAAGTAAGAACTTTGACTTGCTATTAGCTTCTGTTAAGTTCATCGAGCTCATTGTGTATGCTGTTAATGACCTCTAATGGTTGACGCGGGGAATAAATAGAAGATTATGATCAGTTATTTGGGAGCCGTTGTTACCAAGTGTGAGGGCATACGCAGCTCCGAGGACGACGGTGCTGCTGCCTGCCTGCTGCTACTGCTGCTGTTGCTGTCTGCTGCTGCCTGCCTGCTGCTGCCTGTCTGCTGCTGCCTGTCTGCTGCTGCTTGTCTGTGCTCTCTACTCCAGCTCTGCCCAGACCTTACATTGTGGTAGAGCACCACTGAGCAGTGTGGCTGTGGAAGTGTTGTATTATTCCATTATTGGAGATGTGTGGGTTATGGCGTTATTCTTGAGTGGTGCAAGTGATCATAGATTACCAAGTTGGCTCTCAATGTACTACAGGCAGTCAGGTACTCGGGATATTTAATATCTCACATTTACCAATGTGTGCATTTGAATAATATGTCAAGACTTGATTTTTTTCCATCGTATTATCTTAACGCGTTGACCAAACCACACACTAGAAAGTGAAGGGACGACGACGTTTCGGTCCGTCCTGGACCATTCTCAAGTCGATTGTGTTACAATCGTCACAATCGACTTGAGAATGGTCCAGGACGGACCGAAACGTCTTCGTCCCTTCACCTTCTAGTATGTGGGGTTTGGTCAACATATTTCAGCCACGTTATTGTGACTCCTCGTCTGCATCATAACGCGTGTTTGTCAAAGGATTGGCAAGTGTGTATATTCAACCCGTCCTCTTTAAAATAACGTCACTTTTCGCTCGCATGCGCGCTATGGCCAAATTTGGACGTAATTTGAAATGAAATCGACTCACAAAAGTGACGTACTGTTCCGTTTTCTGTTTGAGTCGTCCGGCTTACTCGGAAAGGTTAGAAGAGGAAACTTTCAATTAACGTTTTTCATAACGTTTTGAAACTTTATGAGAATTTCCTGCCCACCTAACCTATCAGAGGACCCTTAACTTACTGTTCTTGAAAAAAAATCTCAAATTTATTTTCATTTTTTTTTTTATTTTAAAATTACGTCCACTTTCGGCCATACGGGTAAACGGCCAAAAGGGACGTTATTTTTAAGAGGACAGGTTGACTATGATCAACTACCCTATTTACCATTAACATACAATTATCTGAGTGTATATACCCAGTACCAAATATACCACATCTCTGCCTTATTATTAATTACTATTTTTATATATATATATATAAGAGTTCTTACGATGTTGTAAAGCCAAGCTTTTCGGGCAGGTCCTTAATCCTAATTTTCCCCGGAATACGACCCGCCAAATCGTTTAACAACCAGGTACCCATTCACTGCTGGGTGAACAGAGGCAACAGTTAAGGATTGGCGCCCAGACAATCCTCCCCGGCCAGGACATGAACCCAGGTCAAATCGCTCGCAAGCGCTGGGCGAGTATTTTACCACTGCGCCACGGGGACTGCTAGTGCTAGTGATGAAAGGTAATTTACTTTCGGGCATCTTCCAAGATCTTCCTCCGTACTGGGTGGGGACATGATCAGGTGACACGTAATACCCATTGCTTGCACATTCTCCCCCCCCCCTCCCCGGTGATACAGGAAACATTGCACATTCTCCCACCCCCTCCCCGGTGATACAGGAAACATTGCACATTCTCTCGTCCCCCCCCCCCCAGTGATACAGGAAACACTGGTGATGGCAGCAAGTGGGGATAGGTGGCGTGTGAGGTAATTATAAAGAGAGAGCACACAGTCATTATGACTATATACCACTTGGCAGGGATAGGAAGGAGTACAAGGTGGTGGGACGTGTGGAGGGAGTGAAGGAGAGGTGCCCAGTGACTTGCACCGTCCGGGAACCGAGCCTGCACCACCCACCAACACGTCTACTAACCAGGAGCCAGATTCACAAAGCAGTTACGCAAATACTTACGAACGTGTACATCTTTCCTCAATCTTTTGACGGCTTTGGTTACATTTATTAAACAGTTTACAAGCATGAAACTTGCCAATCAACTGTTGTTATTGTTATAAACAGCCTCCTGGTGCTTCGGAGCTCATTAACTGTTTAATAATTGTAAACACAGCCGCCAAAGATTGAGAAAAGATGTACAGGTTCGTAAGTGCTTGCGTAACTGCTTCGTGAATCTGGCCCCAGAGCTAGTGCAACCCGTCCTCCTTACCTTTTCCCAACGTCAAGAAACTGTCGTACTAAAGTGCCCTTATCTTAACCTACCAGAGGACCCAAAACAGAAAACGGGACAGTACGCCGATTTCGCGAGCTGCTTCCATTTTCTAGTACGACCATTTTTCTCCTTCTTGAGGTTATCTTGATATGATTTCGGGGCTTTAGTGTCCCCGCGGCCCGGTCCTCGACCAGGCCTCCACCCCCCAAGAAGCAGCCCGTGACAGCTGACTAACACCCAGGTACCTATTTACTGCTAGGTAACAGGGGGCCTCAGGGTGAAAGAAACTCTGCCCATTGTTTCTCGCCGGCGCCCGGGATCGAACCGAGACCACAGGATCACGCGTCCGGTGTTCTGTCCGCTCAGCCACCGCCTCCCCTTAGGTAGAGCCGAACGTCAAAATGCGACGTTGTATTAGGAGTAGCCGCCTAGTGGATGAAGCAACTGGTAGCGAGGAGACAGCCTTATCGTCTCCGACATACCTCAAGGGTGTGGCTGTCAGATTCATCTACGTTAATACATGACTTGCAACGAGTCAGCCGAATTGTAAGCGAGCAGTTAATTAAATCATATATCAGAGAGGGGTGAATCCTTATATAATAATGTTGCTGGTTAGTCTCAATAGCTACACTATGCTCAGTTGAATATTATAGTCCACATTATATTAGCTTTGTCGACGTTGTTTCATCCCAAGTGTTGGGAAGTTTAGCCGAGACCCCGGTACTTAACTCACTGGTCAGACGGTCTGTGTGTCCATACACCCCAGTGATTTCGGTGCTGCAATCAGTGTGCAATGTTTAATTACTTTGCAAATTATCAGCTGGGGCAAGGTATACACGTTGCAAGCAATACGTATTCTCTTAAAGCAAGATGCCTGTGCCAGGAGCACGATGCCTGTGCCACGACCACGATGCCTGTGCCAGGAGCACGATGCCTGTGCCAGGAACACGATGCCTGTGCCAGGAACACGATGCCTGTGCCAGGAACACGATGCCTGTGCCAGGAACACGATGCCTGTGCCAGGAACACGATGCCTGTGCCAGGAGCACGATGCCTGTGCCAGGAGCACGATGCCTGTGCCAGGAACACGATGCCTGTGCCAGGAACACGATGCCTGTGCCAGGAACACGATGCCTGTGCCAGGAGCACGATGCCTGTGCCAGGAGCACGATGCCTGTGCCAGGAACACGATGCCTGTGCCAGGAACACGATGCCTGTGCCAGGAACACGATGCCTGTGCCAGGAACACGATGCCTGTGCCAGGAACACGATGCCTGTGCCAGGAACACGATGCCTGTGCCAGGAGCACGATGCCTGTGCCAGGAACACGATGCCTGTGCCAGGAACACGATGCCTGTGCCAGGAACACGATGCCTGTGCCAGGAGCACGATGTCTGTGCCAGGAACACGATGCCTGTGCCAGGAGCACGATGCCTGTGCCAGGAACACGATGCCTGTGCCAGGAACACGATGCCTGTGCCAGGAGCACGATGCCTGTGCCACGAGCACGATGCCTGTGCCACGAGCACGATGCCTGTGCCAGGAGCATGATGCCTGTGCCAGGAGCATGATGCCTGTGCCACGAGCATGATGCCTGTGCCAGGAGCACGATGCCTGTGCCAGGAGCACGATGCCTGTGCCAGGAACACGATGCCTGTGCCACGAGCATGATGCCTATGCCACGAGCACGATGCCTGTGCCAGGAGCACGATGCCTGTGCCACGAGCATGATGCCTATGCCACGAGCATGATGCCTGTGCCACGAGCACGATGCCTGTGCCAGGAGCACGATGCCTGTGCCAGGAACACGATGCCTGTGCCAGGAACACGATGCCTGTGCCACGAGCACGATGCCTGTGCCAGGAGCACGATGCCTGTGCCAGGAACACGATGCCTGTGCCAGGAACACGATGCCTGTGCCACGAGCACGATGCCTGTGCCAGGAGCACGATGCCTGTGCCAGGAGCACGATGCCTGTGCCAGGAACACGATGCCTGTGCCAGGAGCACGATGCCTGTGCCACGAGCACGATGCCTGTGCCAGGAGCACGATGCCTGTGCCACGAGCATGATGCCTGTGCCAGGAGCACGATGCCTGTGCCACGAGCACGATGCCTGTGCCAGGAGCACGATGCCTGTGCCAGGAGCATGATGCCTGTGCCAGGAGCACGATGCCTGTGCCACGAGCATGATGCCTGTGCCACGAGCATGATGCCTGTGCCAGGAGCACGATGCCTGTGCCACGAGCACGATGCCTGTGCCAGGAGCACGATGCCTGTGCCACGAGCACGATGCCTGTGCCAGGAGCACGATGCCTGTGCCAGGAGCATGATGCCTGTGCCAGGAGCACGATGCCTGTGCCACGAGCATGATGCCTGTGCCACGAGCATGATGCCTGTGCCAGGAGCACGATGCCTGTGCCACGAGCACGATGCCTGTGCCAGGAGCACGATGCCTGTGCCACGAGCATGATGCCTGTGCCACGAGCATGATGCCTGTGCCACGAGCATGATGCCTGTGCCAGGAGCACGATGCCTGTGCCACGAGCACGATGCCTGTGCCAGGAGCAAGATGCCTGTGCCACGAGCATGATGCCTGTGCCAGGAGCACGATGCCTGTGCCACGAGCATGATGCCTGTGCCACGAGCATGATGCCTGTGCCACGAGCATGATGCCTGTGCCACGACCAAGATGCCTGTGCCAGGAGC